TCCTGTTGGAGAAAGTCATGCATGGACTCCTACAGAACTCCTGTGCAATCCCCGAGGAGTCCCTGCCAACTCCCCATTCACCGTTTGTTTTGTAGATAGGCAATATATAAATATAATGTAGTTCTATGATAAAATTTTAAAAGTTTTCTTCTAGTAAATCAACATTAATGTGTCAACCTTCGATGGGTGATATGTGCTGCAGCGGTATCAGTGATAGTATCTAGCACTTAATTACTAATTAGTTACATGAAATTAAGAAGATGGATCAATAGACCCACAGGGAGTCCCCAAGGACTCTCTTGAAAATCTCTGAGAACTCCCCAGGGACTTCCTTAAGAATCCCATAGAACTCCTGCGGGAGTCTTGAGGAATCCCTCTTGAATCCCTTAAAAATCCTCCATAACACCACAGAGGATCTTGCCGGGCCCCCGCGACAGGACTCCTGCTGACTCCTGTAGGACTTTTTTTCCAGGACTCCTGCGGGAGATTAATCAGGAGTCTCACTAGGGAGAGCGCTGCAGAATTGTCCCAGACCCGAATGTTTGGTTCATTTAGCCAAAGACTGCTTTTTTCACTTAAGAAATTTTTAAAAATCAGTGGCATCGAGTTAACATCCATCTTGAGCCTCGACGCAGTTTATATTTTGACGAGATATGCATTGCTCAATTTTGTATGCCCATACATAAAATTCATGTTCATTAGGTTTTCTCACTTTTTTGCCAAAAGCAAACATTCGTACGAGATTCAAAATGATCCATCGACTTATATAATATTTCCTCGTATGTTCAAGAGAGACTATAAGGTTTTCATGAAAGTTGATGTAAATAGACACGTTGGATTTGCGTGATTATATAGAAAACATGTTAGACTATCATTTTTATATCGATCATGTTTGAAGGTTCATAAAACATAGTAATTTTCCAAATATCTTCCAGAAATCCTACTTTCTATAAAAGATTTTTAACTTTTGTATTTTACAGAAAGGTCAAAAGCATCAAACTCTTGGCTACAAAACTGCAAGAATCACGCGTAGTGAGCATTTTTCTAACAGCAGGCGAAAATCAGAATTTTATGCTTGTAAACCATTTTTCTTATAAATAATTATCATTGCTTAGTCATCTTTGATGCTTTTCAAGAAAAAATAAACATTTTTTCAGAAAAAAAACAACCGATCTTGCAGGTTGAAAACGAAAAAATATCGATCGATGGATTCGATCCAAAACTTATTGTGTTATATATGATTCGATACAACCTGATACGCTGATTCAGAATATGTTCTTATTTTTTTCTTAAAAGTATTTCTCAACGGAAGAACATAGATTTTACCTGAAAAATTAGAGGACTTTTTGGCTATGTTTTATCGCGATCTTTGACGCTGGGAATCAAAAATTTGATTCTGTTAAACTGAACATCTATCGTTGTATATTTTACTGTCTTCGAATCAGGAAAATTTGCACTTTCGATTTTTTGCTTAATGTCCGCCTGGATGGCCATAGTTCTACAGCTGTCTTCAATCCGACCTTATTCAAAATGGTCGCTCTTTTTCAAAGGATTGTAGCATTTTTAGGACAGTAATACATAACTGATAAGTTTGAATGTATTCACTTAGGAAAACAAAAAAAATCACAACTGACCATAGGTTTTCCCTCACTTATTCTAGAAATTTTTTTCTCTGACCGTAACTATTGGATATCTAATTATAGATGAGCAAAGTACGGGATATATAAATCTGTGTAAAAAATAGACTAAAATATATATTTTCTCTCGTGTCTATGACGAAATATTACGCGAAAAGCAAATGTCAATTGAGAATAGATTGATAAGTACTTTCTCATTTGAATGTGAGAAGCCTTACTAACTCATTTAAAATTGTCCAATCAGACGATGCTCATTATGGTCGTTGTATTAGATATTAGATTTAGTCAAATTCACTGGACGCTATTAAAATCTCATTATTCAAAATGGACTTGTGAATTATCTTGTCAATGGTGGTGTAAATTTGAATTGTGACCTTCCCACTCATCATCATTATATACGAGCACAAACACCAACACCAACAAAAAAAAAAAGAAAAAGTCATACTATTATTACATTTTAATGTTTATCTCGTGTTGGCTGTCGTGCAATAATACAGACAACTATATATTCTTCTTGTTGATGAAATAATGTAAATCGATTGTCAAGAGGTTAAGTGAAAGAGAGAAAATATTCATTCGACTACATTTCCTCTTTTTTTCATATTCATTAAATGATGTCATTTTACAACGTGATATATACAAAACATAATGTTTGCAAACGCATGTTGAATGCCTATTGCATGAGTTTTAAAATTAGAAACAAAAGAGAATACGTTTCATCAATTGATGAGAAATACATTCGATTTTTTTATTCGACAGTATTCAACCGCATATGATATCATTAAAATATCACTAGCTAAAAAAACGAAATATGTGAGACAAAAAATTTTTTAAACTTGTCCACTATAATGAAAATTAAGATGAATTTGAATAAAGTCTGAGCCACTCAGTTTCTATGAAGATCTGAACTATTTTACAGAATAAATAAGTTGTAGATTAGAAAAGTAACGGTATCTGCAAAACATAAAAAAATAGACATTATTAAGAGTTCTTTAGCGATCTAAAAGAAATAAGAAAATGTACCGTATGTGTGTAACATCCAGTTTCTTTTTCTTCGTGATGAACATGCGATAGAGTATTAAATGTTGTCGGTAGTTGAACGTTCTATTTTTGGATATGTATAGTTCGGTGTTGTGCATTGAAGATGAAAGACGTCAACAATAAAGGAATTATCACTTGATTTGTTCTTTAGTTAAAAGGCTGTGCACAAAAGCATAAATAACAACAAAATAAATGTCTTGTATAACTTTAAATTGAAAACCATTTCAAATTTGTCACACAACGTAGAAGATCGATTTGCTTTTTATTGAAGAGAAAAGCATGAAATCCGTATAAAAAAAAATTCATGACTAAAAAAACGAATTGAATCATCAAATAGAAAAAAAGATGTAAAAGCTTTTTACGAACTTATTCTCGGAGAGACATTATATCCTTACTGAAACGGGAAGAGGAAGTGTATCTATTCTCCTCTTCAAAAATGATTACTTCAATTTTCTGATTTTTTTTCTTAAAAATGAAGATTTTACTTGTGACTGCATCCACTATGTCATACATCTTTTTAAAAAAGTGAGATGAAAATAAAAGATTATACCCTCTGTTCGTAACTGTGATTGGACGAACAATTTGAGATCTATTTTAAACTTTCACAGTAAAAACCTGTTGCTCTTTTTTTTTACTAAAATATGTTTTTTAATGTAAAACTAACTCAGATTATATTTTACTACGACTTATAAAAAAAATAGAACTTATTCAGAAATTTGCGTGTCGTTCTCCTTACTCCAAATCACTTGAGGTACCGCTGAGAAATATCTGTTTAACAATAAATACAGTAGAATACAATTACCTTATTGATAGCTAAATATTATAGAAAATGAGTTTATTTCGTGATAATACTTAAACGAGAGAAAATTTGTTAATTAATTTAGAGAACATATAAATATTTACACGATATAAAGGGTAGTAATAAATAGTTCATGAAAGACAATTTATTTGACATTAGTTTAATAGCCACATTGATTTGTTCTCATTTGCTTACACACTTTAAAAGAATAGAATAAATAAATATTTTGAGTATGTGTAAATTGAAACGGGCACCTAGACTATAAACAAGATGATTCTGTTTTCTTATTTGTTATTTTAGCATCATCATTGGAACAAAACACGTTAGATAAAGATCTCAAACGAAAGAGCAGTCGACCAACATTTACCGGTCATCAAATATTTGCATTAGAAAAAATGTTTGAACAAACGAAGTATTTAGCCGGTCCCGAACGTGCTCGATTAGCCTATTCATTGGGAATGTCTGAAAGTCAAGTGAAAGTAAGTAATTCATATTTAAATTCTTCACTAAAGATTTTTGGTGATTATTCATAACACTGAAATATTCTAAACAATAAAAGTATTCAGTAAAACCGAAGAAAAAGCAAATATTTTGTCTGCCGCTGTTTATCTCGATTTGAGTGTACAAAAATCGCACTGTATAACCAAAACGTAATTTACTCGTAAAATAATGGCTGTTATTCTTCGACCAATATGGCCTAGAACTAATAAAAAGAATCAATAAATAAACTAGATGCCAACTGCGTACTGTGAAGATTGAAAGCCGACTGAATGAAACATTTCTCGAACCCGTTAGCTTCTAGCTATGACATAAGCTCCGTAGATAATTAATTTAAACCGGAAATCTATCAGTGGAAGAACCTGATATGTTCTTCTTTAGCAACAAAATATGTTTCGAATTTTATTCAGCTAGATTTATCTTCTACAGCATATTATTCACATCACTGTATCAGCTGATTCATTATCCTATCATACATTCTGCTATAACTTTCATCGTATCAAGTACTATAGTCTATATTCACTACGAAGGATGTCACGTGACGATTTATTATCTGATAGGTGAAACGATAGAGTTTTCTGAAAAATATACTCGTTTTCTGGTACTAATTATAGGATAGCTAAAGCAAATATTCGAAAACTAACTCTAGTCATGTACGACTCTTCTACTTTCGAATCAGCTTTTTTCGAAATCTGTACGATCAGAGATAATCGAGAACGGTGGGTAAAAAAATCAACTCAAAAGTGTAGAGAGAGAAAGAAGAAGAACACACGGGTTTCGGTTAAAAGCAATAAGCCGAGCCGATTACATTTCACTCAGTCGGCTTAAAAATGACTTGAAAGATTAGAGAGAGAAACAAGATGTAAAGCGTTTTATCTTTGAATGCATATGAGTTTATTCTTAGTGGTAGATTTGTTTGACAACAAAGACAGTGAGAATACCGTTGTTTTAGAACACGTTAGAATAAATTATTTCATTTAAGCTTTACTAGAATTTCCACAAATGCCAATAGTAAAAATCAATTTATCGTGTGATAGCGAATCAATTTTCCAGCCATTATTTTATTAAGTTTCATTTTTCATACCCATTGTTTTTGAATTAATTAAATGCTGAACGATAAAATGTATCGCTATTACTATATTCCTCGAATAATTTTTATTCCTGTATTCACATGGAGTCCTCTGAGTTCGTCCCAAATTGACTTCTCAATTCGTCCCATGAAGCTTTTTTTCTCAGTTCGTCCAATATATTTTTTTCTCAATTCGTCTCAGATATCTATGCTCGCGCCTCAAAATAAATAAAGTGTTGTACCATCGAACAGTTTAGTCGACGGCGATGGTATTGTAGGCAATACAAGGTGCGTGTACGTGGCAAAATGTGTCGTGTTAGCCACTACTATCACAAATTTAAATCTAAATAAGTTAAATTGGTTTGTTCATCAAAATGTTAGTTTTCACGTCTACTGAAAAAGCGAAATCAGTTTTGAATCATAATGGGTATCAATACACCAAAAAACGAGCAAACAAAACAAATAATCAATGGCGGTGTCGGGATCGAACTTGTTCAAGTACACTATTATTATGTACAGACGATATGAGAATTTTACGGAATGAATCAGCACACACAAGCGAGAGAGGAAACACTACCTCTTCGAAAAATATATTCATATATTCAGTCATATATACGCAAGAAGTACGGACAATTGTATTAAAGTTAATTAAGTGTAAACTGTTATGGGACGAACTGAGAATAAAACTTCATAGGACGAATTGAGAAGTCAATTTGGGACGACCTGAGAGTAAACTATTCACATTACAAAGATAGATAGAGATATTAATTAAATGACATGGACAGCAAAAAGATTTTCTCTTTGCTCACTTCAGATCTGAAATTTATGTCCTTGTTGTGAAAGAAAAAAAAAATCGCGTTTGACGAGGATATCAAGAGTGTCAAGTTCAATTTTTATTCTTCTTGTCTCCGTCTTTAAGCTCCAGCATTCAGTACTACAAGCTTGTTTCACATCTTTCGGAATACATAATCTTATCTGTCTATCTTCTCGTTCTCGTTTCTTATTCCTCTTATAAATTTAAACTTCTTAATGTCTTTCAGTCTTTTACTTTTCTTAGTCTTTATACAGCCAATGTATGACTGGCCTCGCCCCCGTCCTGCTTTCTAAGATCGTCGGCTTTTCCTTAAGCAAAATTTTTTCTTGAATTGAAAATGGCACTCTACGGAAAGCAAACTCGTGAACCATCTGGATAAATCAGTAATTAGTAGAAATTGAGCAAGAATTGATGAATGACAACCTCAGCTATTTAGTAATGTATAGCGTAGCGTATGCTATTTATCCTATCTCTTGGCCGCAGCAGATACAAATGCTCGAAACATTTGAATTCAAATTCAATCAGCTTGTCATCAAGAAAACAAAAACATCGGAAATTGCTGTCAATTTCTGACCTATTAGTTAATTTAGGCAATCGTTTATTCGGATAACTGAGTATTCCTTTTAGTCTTTTACTCCTTTTAGTTCTTTACTGCGCTTACTTCTTTTAACCATTTTGTTGAAAATGTTTTGTAAAATGTGAGAGATTTCAGATGGACTTATCCTCATGTCAGCAAGAAAACGTTTTACAGTTAAAATATCAGACATCAAACCACTTACAGCTAATCTTTGTCGAAAACTTTTTTTTCTTCTACGTTGCCTTCTTTTCATGGCAATAGATAGATACTTGAAATACATGAAAGTAAACTAAACTAAAAATGGCTTGTTTTATTCGCTTAGAGCTTATGACTATTATCATATTACTCCAGCTAAACTGATTATTTTCCATATATATTTAGGTTTGGTTTCAGAATCGTCGAACTAAATGGAGAAAGAAACATGCTGCAGAAGTCGTCGGTTCAAAACGTAAACAAGATAGAGAATCGCTTATTACCGCAGATTCTAACTCAAATTCGGACTGACCATATTCCTTTGTAACAATCATTTGAAGCAAAGCATAGGAAATTTGTTTCAACTTTGGCAAAAAAAAATCAATGGGAAAAAAAATAGCTGTAAAACAGAATTTATCTTGTTATTTTGTTCAGGCAACTATTAGTTATTCATCGTTTAAGTTTTTGAATATTTTATTTTAGTCTGTTTCGCTGATTGTGATTGTGTACATATTACCTTGGAATTTTCTTGAGTATTCTTCGTTTGTTCAATAACATTGTATTTAGAAATTATTTTTCAATCATTCCAAATTGTTTTTGATTTGATACAATGACTTCATATAGATTAATGTCTCTAAAAATATTGATTTGTTTTCGGTCGTAAAATTGGTGTGCAGATACGTTGACATATTTTATTAGGTTCATTTCTATTGACAGTTAGAAGTAGAAGTAGACTCAAAATATCTTTTAATCTTTCATTCTCTTAACATATGATTTCACAATGCAGTGTGGAACTGGCGTATGGATTTTGGACAAAACACCATTCTTCATACATTGCGTCATTTTCTTTAATATATATATATCACTACTCAATATTCGAAGCTTACAAAAATGAATTAAACATGACCTGAGATATCAATCAATAAATGATTATCTATGACTGTATTAAACAATAGTACGACGTTTTTCGTATAAATGTTGGAGAATCTGTTTTGCAGTATATTCATCGGTATTTTGAGCAATAATTCGAAATACTAAATAACCATCCGCATGTAAATAGTCCATGAAACTATCATCTGCGAGATAAGTATTAAGATCACGTCTTCTTGCTGATCTTGTCATCGATATAATCCATAGAATTATACTAATAAAATTAATAAACGTTAATACTAGCAACCAAAACCAAATACAAAGAAATATCTTTTCATTAAATAAATTAATTGGTAAAGTACATTGAATAACGTACCAATGTTGATTTGAACCTAAATGTCTTATCATAAAATCACACATTGTTACACGTGGAAATCTTGGTGATTCAAACAAATCTCCGCCACGAAAAAAATGACTCAACACTTCAAAACCATAACTAGAAAACTGAAACGATAAAAAAGCGTTTAGAAGAAAAAATTGTCCAAGACAATTTATAAAATATAACACTTTAATAAGAAAATACAAGATGACTAATCGAAAATTAAAATTCTTTAATTGTCCTCCGCAACATGTTCTACCACGCTCATAGTCTAAATATGAATTTAACGATTTTTTAACTATATCAAGTCCTTTATCACCCTTTATATCTTCTTTTATTGCCTTAGTAAGACGACGCAGATCAAGTCCACTTTGACGTGTAAGCGCATGCCAAAATATTTTTGGCGCATAAAATAATAGAGACATGCCAAACAAAATGTAAGTTGTCCATTGATAATAGGATCTAAACAAAAACATTATATTACTTGATGCGAGCCACTTTGATAGTTATTACTCACATATGGTACAAGCGAGGTTTTGATCGATCGGGAATAGTTACTATATAAAATAGTAAGATGATATCAAATTATTAAAATAAAGACATGTATTTACTTTCTTCAGTTGGCAAATAGTATGTTCCTTTCAACCAACATATACTGTTTGCATAGGTATTATGAGGTTTTTGGAATTGAGCTAGATAGGACAGAAAAACATCTTTAAATATGAAAATTGAAATCAAAACTAGCTTACCAGGCGTCCAACAATTAATTGGCTTTCCAACATATGTTTTAGCAAGAATAATCAATATGCATAGTACTAGAGCCCTCACGGTATATCGACTATTCAATCTATCAGCTAAATCGTCCTCTTCAAGACCGTGACTTTTCAGTCCAAATAGTTCCTCGGGTATCAGTATTTTTTTCATCTACAAAGTTTTTGAGAGTTTACAAAATAATAGAACATCCTATACAAAAGTCAGTATATAATTAGAAAAGACAATGTCGAGAATATACCTCAATGACAAAAGAATAAAAGGACTGAATATTTGTAGCAATGAAATATCAGTAGGTGATAAATACATTAACATGAAAACGATTATCCTAACAATAATTTGGAAATTGGTTCAAACAGGATAGAATTATCATAGGCTTTTTAATTAAAAAGAAGATAAACAACATACGAGACTAACTAATGACTGACATATTGTAAAATACGTATGCGAGTGACGATAAAAGAGTTGAGTTACAGGTTGTCTTGCTCATTTCTTATTATTGTTTCTTTTAAATAGAATAGGGTCTTTGTTAATACACGAAGTCAGATAAATTATATTTTTAATATTTCTTAAAGTATATACTTTGTCTTCGTAAAATTTATTATCTACAATCAACAGTTAGACGTTTCGATTTCAATGTGCACTCTTCTTCAGTATACATAAAATAAAATTCCAACATAAAATTAATAAAACAAAATGTATATATACAAAAAAAACAATTTTCGTTTACATTGTAATATGTACAGTAGATGTTAAAACTATACAGTTTTTTGTATATATACATTTTGTTTTATTAATTTTATGTTGGAACAAAGTATAAATTTTAAGAAATATTAAAAATATTATTGTTTCTTGTTGTACTGATCACATGTATAGTATATTAACTGCAAACAAGAATGTGTTTCTATGATTAGACAAACGCTGACTTCATGTTTTGTGATAAAAAATTGAATCGGGATTTGTCTTTGCTCAAAACAACGCTTACTGTTAAGGGTTTTTCGTTAGTCTCATAGATTATTCGCACGAGAAAAAGAAATTTGGCATTTTCTGTTATTTGTAAAATATTCGTGCATGTTACATTCACATTGAAATGAAGCCTCGTGAAAAGGATCGTGAAAGAAAAAAAATAAAATGGAAAAAGTTTGGATTCCATAATAAAATGGCATTTAAACGAATTTCTAACGGATTTAAACTATCCAGGTCGAAGAATCGCACCAAGCTCGTACACCATTGTGCAAGGTCGTACGAGAAGTAAGAAGTGGTATGATTTCTTATACTGCGATTTTGGTACAGGTCTGATTATATGTGCGTCAGGTATTTTGTATGAAATTGTGCAGTATGATTCGTACACAATCGTTTGATAAAAATTGTACGTGATCATGTCGTACAATTTCATATGATTGGAATCGACATAGTACTCTTTAGATCTATTTTTTGCTTTTGTTGCGGTTTATACTTGAACTGTTAGAAAAAGCTTTGTTTCGAATTCAAATGAGTTGTTTAGTGTTAGAAGTATATTGCAGCAGAAAATTCACTTCAGTTTCATAGCACTAAGCACACTAGCTGCGTAGCAGCACTATCTGCTATCCTCGCGATGTTGTGCGATGCTCAACTCACTTATTTCTTTTTGAGCTTTCTTTAAATTGAATTCTAATTATTTAATAACACAGTTTTAGTAGGACGTTCAGAAATTAGAAGAAAGTAGCGCTGATTCAGAAGATTAGGGTCAGAAGAAAGTCTTTCCCTTTACAGTCAGTGCGTTTTTAACTTGAGCGCTATGTTCATAGGGATTTAGTTAGTTTGATGACAAGATTTGTGCTCGAAGCTTCGCGTAAGCGTATTTTCGAAAATTGGGTTCGGATGAGTCAGAACTGCGCGGATCAGAGCAGCGTATAACAGAGAAAATCACCTTCTGGAGAATTCTCTCCAAAAAATGCGTCTTAAAACATATTTTTTCAGACTTACTCTTGAAAGGACTGCTTCTCTTACTCTTTTTTCAACTCTCCATAATTTTTATTTACGAAATAAGCACATTTTTTTTGCAATGCTCTATTTGTTGATTTTCCTTTTTAAGAAATGTATTAAATTAAATTTTTTTTTGTGTTTTGATATGATTTACCCAATGAACTGAAATATTTTTACAGTTTTTTCAACCCGGCGACTCTTTTTCTAAACCTTTTATACCTTCCATACATTATTAAAAGGCATGAAAAAGAAATGAATTGAGAAGATTCATATGCGGCAAAAACGCACAAGAAAAGTAAAGACAGACTGAAACCAGCAAAAAACAGTCAGAATCATGTATTATTCGTACGTAGAATCGTATACGATCGTACAAAATCAGTCGCGATCTTATGTAATCTTACTATTTCGTACGTAAGATCGCATAGGATCAGATCGCGCAATATCGTACGTACGTTTGTTGTACGAAACGTATAGTCTGGATCCTGCGACTTTTCAGGAATCACGTTTCTGACGTCGACCGTACTATTTCGTATGTATGAATTTGTACGATTGTTTTAGATCATACCAGTTCGTGTACGATCATACAATAGAATCGTATCTGATCGTATCCAGTCTGGTACGATCCGCTCATACGATTCTTCGATTTGGGCAATTTAATATCTGCTTCTGCCTATAAGACTTTTAAATCTAATCAAGTTTGATCGTATTTATCTTACTTCAAAATAAGAACACTTTTGTAGGAGAAAGCAAAACAATTTTATGTGGACTGATGATTCAGTCTTTCAGGAATTTCTGACATTCAGTTTGAGAAAAATCTAAAAAAGTTAAAATCAAGTTTAAGTAAAGCTCATCTAAAAATTACCCTTCTATAAAGCATACCGGATCAGTTATGCTCATAAATTTATTCGGATACAGATCTATGGTATACTATAACAATGGTTTCTCTCTGATAAGTGATTTATTGAACCAAATATAGAGAGCTAAATGTATAAACACATAGTAGCTCTCGGTACAGTCTTAATTATTCAATGTGGATGTAAGGCTGTTTACCATTTATCTATCCAAATTCAACGATGGATTTTAAAACATATGTATATATATATACTTCTTGCTTATATCTCTTTTGCAACATGTTTTTTCTTCTTCTTCACATATGTTTGAGAGTGGGAAATTACAACGTAACAAAATTCTTTCTCATACTGATTTAAGCTTTAATCTTGAACCAGAACGAAATTGAGAATATAAATTCCCATTATATCATTCTGAAACTTAAACTCTCAAAACACAAGAGCAATCCTTGCTCGAAGCTAGGATCGAACACACAAAATTGATCTTTGAAGGCGAACTACAAAAACTAATTTTGCTGTTCTTTCTTATATTCTGCACAACGATTGAAATACTTACTCCATTATGTGCTTAAAAAATAAACAACTTTTCAAAACTTTTTCTAGTAAAAGACTATACGAACAACTCTAAAGGATACAGATAAACAGACATTGATTTAAGGAGTCTTCACATTGTGATCTTGTATCATACCCATCATTAATAATGAATTTTACAAAAGTTAAAATTGATTGACTTTAAACGTAAAATTATTTATGTTTTTGATGGATTACTTCAGTGTCAATTACTTAAAGGAAAAAAACCGTATAAATGTCTGGTTTGGTAATTAATTGTACACACAATTATTTGATTTTACTTAAATTCGTTTCAATCCTTTTAAACATATTATGTTTGATAAAAAAACGTTAAAAAATCAAAAAGTATCAATGTAATCGATTGATATATGATTATTTTTGCTAAGGTTTTTCGTCAAAATTACATTTATGAAAGAAAATAATAATAATAATATGTAATATGCCTATCATTCATATGGTTTTTTTTCGAAGTTTTCTACATAGAAGAATAAATAGAATCCATTCAATCAGTGTTTTATTTATTTTGTCAAACAACAAAATTATTAGAATAAAAAAAATATATTTCATTTCTGAACCTAATAAACAGACAATTCTTCATTATATACAATACAACATATACAGAAATCTGCTTATTTGTGGATTGTGCAGTGAAAATATTTTAGTGTAATAAGCAATCATTCATCTTCTATTCATTATACTAATTTTAAGTTCTAAATACATAGGATCTTTGCAAACAGCATTATCGTACAAAAAAATGACACTAATAACTGTGATTATAATGTGGTTCACTTTTTTCAGCTAAGATATTTTCACTATCAGACAGCCATCCACTGCACATGGTGAAGATTATCGCCTCTTATACCTGAAAGATATAATCAACACAAAAATCGAATGTTAATTCGCCGGTATTATATATATATATATATCTACATACCGGATCTCAAAATATTTGCAAACGTTACATATTTTACGTATACCTCTGCTTTTATTCCTGAAGCAGAGATGCGTAAATGTTAATGTCTGTCAGACAAAACAATGATACTGAGTAAACTGTATTTATTTCTTAGTCGATTTCTTCAGCTTTTTTGTAACCTACTTCTGAGAGCGAAGATAATCGTCAATAAAATTTAAGCTTTGTTTTTCGGCAAGGAATAAGCAGCACTTTGAAACAACGCACAACACTTTTTATATCAGCCAAGCTTTTGTTGCGGGAGAAATAGCATTTATTCAATTAGTTGCTTAAAAACGACTGCTAGCCTTGATTCATTAGCAGTTTGTCAGCTTTCTACAAACATTTAGCTGTTTTTTACGTGATAGTGAGACCAGGGTATCATTTTTTTAAAAAATTCTGGTAAGCTGTGATCAGTTGAGAAATAAATGGTGGTTTTTGAAAATTGGCAATTTTTTATATAAAACCTCCATGAAGAAATATAACAACTTTTTTTAAAATTAGATATTTTGTAAAACAGATTGGTGAGCGCGAAGGAAGTTGTATTGAAAAAAATGTCAAATATTAGCAATTGATAGGGTTTTCAAGAGCTACAACATCAGCCGCATCTTTATTACCAGTGTGCTTATTATTCGAGTGTTAGACAGAAAGAATAAAGATATGAGTGAAAAACAGATTTATTTCACTAGAGCAGAGTATATGATCTCCGACAATTTAGACTCGTATTATTTTAAAATATAATTAACAAAATTTTGTAGCGAACTGAATGATGCATCGTTTGAAACAGAAATTGACATTCCCCAAGGCACTGAAGCAGAAAT